CCTATGTCTTCTCAATGTAAAAATATAGAAAAATTACTTGAAAGTCCAAGCGATTTACCTAGTCCAAGTTGTAGTAGTAATGAAATATCACCCTAACCTGTTAATGACAATAACGACGCTATAAATGCTGAAAGAAAATATAGTTCAAAGGGAAGATTATTAAAGAAAAAACAGAGATTAAATCTATAATAAAATATGTATAATTGATAATATAATATTGACATGTAATTCATTTAAGTATTGACTAAGTAAATTTTAAATTTGTATTGTGGTGTATACCACAATAATTAAGTATTTTATGTAAACTTTAATGCCCATAATTTGTAATAAATAAAGAAGTAAATAATGTTTACAATGTATTTCAAAATTGTTATATTGTTTGTAACGTAACTTTGTTAAGCAAAGTAGGGTTATGTTTGTAATGTCATCCGTCAACATATAAATGTCAGTGTCATCTGTCACTGTCATTTGTCTTAAAAGAAAAAAGGGCATGTTGTAGTCTATGGTTAAAATAAATTATTATTGTCTATGTCGAGGGCCGCTCGTTCTCTTCCCCGGTATCCACCATTGCTGTAAACTGTTAACATGTGAGTGTGCAATAAAAATATTAACAACGCCCCAATAATCTTTCATTCAAGAATCTACATAACGAACCCAAAAGAAACCCTTCTGGGGAACGCGTGGAGGTATCGAGTTAAAATTATAACTGCAGTGAATACGAAAGAGTCGACAGTCGTTACGACGCTTTTTGCATTTTCTAGGAAATTGTTTACAAACACACAAGTTCCAAATAACAAAGAGCGCACCAAGTTTTTTAAAGTAACTTTTTTGACGGGGATTTCTCTGTTGTAAATAAGGAAACAATTTCAATTTAATATCTAAATAAAGAATACAAATAAATAATTTCTATCGTAACAATTGAGCGTGTTTGGGATATGTAAAGTTTCACCACATTTCGTGGAAAAAAGTATTTTTAAGGGAGATACTAATAAAAAACCAATAACCATGTTTAAGAAAATATGTACATATCTTTATTTTATCTTGCTGGCATACTACAACTTCCTCTTCATTTAGTTATCCTTTACCGCAAAGGTTGTCTGGAAGAGATCGCTTAAAGCGATAAGGCCGCCTTTGCCCACATTATGTAATTGTTTCCTTATTTTTGTATTCTTTTGTGTGTGTGCAATAAAGAATTTATCTATCTATCTATCTATCTAACCCTTAAAAATGTAGCCAAATCTAAAGCAATCATAGGACTAAATCCACTTACTTGCTCTGCTTTCTGCATGTTGCAACTCGAATGATTTCACGAGATAATTCCAAACTTAACTGAGTTTAAAGTGTGAATCTTCATGTACCCTTAATAGGGATGATGACGGGGTACAGTAAACGAAATTCTCTTTAGTCCGTCAGTTAGATGATCAAAAAATAATGGACACGTATTTTTTCTTTGGGCAATCAACCAAAAAATGACAAAGTTATAGCGCGTCAAAGTTTGGGAGTAGGGGCTCCTGACGTCACTTTTGAGTGAATTTTCACTTAGAAGTGTACTCAAACGTGACGTCATACGACTTTTCAAATCAATATATCTCTGCAATGTTTATATTATGTGAAAAAAGAAAAAATACGTGTCCAATACTTTTTGATAATCTACCTGATAAACGAAGAAAAAATTAGTCATCATCCCTATTCAGAGTTTTACACAATCCATTTATTTATAAGAAATTGCTTTAAAAGTTGTCAATGTGCCGAGGGTTGCTTTTACTCGGGGGGCGGACGCCACCCCTTCCCGGGGATGAAAAACATTTTATTAACAATAAGGATGGGAATGGACAGACTGACTTGTTCTGAACAACTTTTGTTTTATAAAGTTTTTACTGACAGGCAATACTTTTCAACCTATTCGACAATGGAAACGTCACTTTTTCAACTAGAAACCCACTTTTTCAGGCGGATTTTCATGAAAAACTCTATAAAAAGTATTTTATGTAAAATATCATACCTACGGAGTAACATTGTACCCAGAGTTGGGCAAAATTTATTCTAATGGCGAATAATGAATGAATAAATTGCTATTTCGTTACTCACGATACTCACGAATAATAAATAATTTCTTTTATTCAAAGGAAAATTATTCGAATGACGAATAAATTATTTTATTCGTTAGTGGGCTAATGAATAAAAATAAAACAAGGAATAATGGCATTTAAATCAAATATTTATTTGCTTTTGTATTTACAGTTATGATTATTCCTTAATATTCGTTTTCATCACTACTCTCTTTTCAAACATGTTGTCAGACAATCTGCTTGATTTTGGCAAGTATATCATAGTGGCGTAAGAAAAAACACGTTCTACTGTTGATTAGCCGCACCGCTCTGGTAAACAGATTCCGAATGACTGGGGAGAGTACCCAGAATATTAGCAATTTACCAAAACAAAATAATTATTTAGTGACCACAACTGATAAGAAAGTGCGTTCTCTCTCTCTCACACTTAAATACAGTCTCGCTCTCTTGTATTGAAATTATCCCTTTCTTGTGCCGCTATTATTTATTAAATTCCGGAAATCGGGCAGGCAGTTGACGATATACGATTGGCACCAATTCATCTTATCGCTTTAATATTGAATGTTTAAAATAACGAATAAAATCACGAATAATAGGGTATTCGACAAGCTTGAGAAAACGATCTCACGTTATTTACTAATGTTTATAGAGTCCATAAAAAGTGGATATTCATCATTATGTTGTGTATTTCGGTAAAAAAACTAAATCAAAAACTCTATTTTCAAGTTGCCGCGAAAAACGTATCTCTGGACAATATGCAGTCTCACTGATGTGTGACGTCACACGACTGTCATTAAAACGTCACCATACAATCTAATGTCACTTTAACCGGAAGTTTACTTGCGTGTGACGTCATTTTAGGCTCCACCAATCCTAGAGGAGGTCCTAGGTTCGTGTTCTAGCAAGGACATTTATTTGTAAGATGCCCACAAATATAGATATCCAAGTCGTGTTTTTTTATCGTTTATATTGACCCGTAACGTCACTATTGTCACTGGAATCAAAGGAGATTACTCAAATTGGCCCAAATGTACAAAAAATATTGACATATACGGTAATTCTTGGCCAAATTTATACTTTATTTTACAGTCATTAGATTTTAACGGACACCTTTGATTATATTCATTTTAAAAAGGACTTTTAATTTTACCGGTTTGGAAAACATACGAATCATTTTTAATTGCTATGGGTGTAGTAACATCCAGCCAAAGACTGATCGAAGTTGTATACATAACATCAAAACTAATCAATTTTGTAAAGATCGATAAAATAAATCATTTTTTGACGTGACAACGTCTTAAATTAGGTTGCGGCTGGGAGTCACTTATGAAAAAGTGTAACGCTCGGTAACGTTACGATGAGTCTCTCGTGTTAAGTTTAAGTTTACATGTACAATGTTTTAGTAAACAAAATATATTTCTATAGTTAAAATTTGTGCAATTCTTATTTTCATTCAATTCCTTGTTCCTATTGTGCAATTTAATTATATTCATATCAATAAATATTCTACCGAGAAAAAGACGTTGTCACGTAAAATCTTCGCCCGTAAAACCGACTTTACAGGCAACCATTTTTTTTTTTATTACACTATGAAGGCGACATCATAAAGTCTATTGACATACATTTTTCGCCAAACACCTCCATAAACACATTATAAGGCATGCATGATACACTAAAAATCTAAAATATGGTTATAATATACATGACAAAATTATGAAGCAACTGAAGATATGGTTGTATAACCTAAATCTCTTAGCTTTCTTTGGTTAACGACAGTTTAAAAATTTTCTCTTCTTCTTTTAATATGCCATGACGGCTAGAAAAAAAAACTCTAATCTGTGGCTCATTCATAATCATCACACAGTTTCTGTCACAGAGTACCTTATTATAACCGGAAATGCATAGATGATACCTGATTTTAAAAGTTACTCTTGTGCAATAACTTTAAAAACAGGCAACTATCTGTTAATCTACATGCTCTATATACCTAAATCTAACACTAATTTCGGTAGTTGGCTTGATTTACGTAATTTACTACATAAATTATTTGTTTTTATTATTTTAATACCTATGTACCTATTTGCAAACATAAGCTCAAAATCATTCAGTGTATATGGTTTATAGAAGTTCTTAGGGCCCGTCAATAATATTCGTTTCTACAGTAATTTATTTATAATTTCGAATCTAGGAAACCATATTTCATGATTATTGGTATTTAGGCCAAACATGTATATGGAAGCTGTAAAATCTCCTTTTCACTTGCGACTCGAAGAACTTAAATACGAAGATTGAATGTTGCTGTGCAATCCATCACGCACGCGGGCAAGGAGCTCGAAATAAATACACTTTTGCTCACCCGTCCTATGACCAACCATTGCGCAAGTTGCTTAACTTTTACAATCGCAGACCGAAAGCGCTAACCACATATCATGCTCATGCAGTTTGCGATTCATCATCATCATTAGCCTTTTATGTCCCCACTACTGGAATACAGACCTTCCCTATGGATGGAATAGAGTCACGCAGGACCAGTGCGGATTGGACGGTGCTAACGACTGCAGGGAGCGGCCGAACCAACGCCAACGGCTTAGCATGCATTCTGAAGGAGGGAGGATCGAAATAACAAGTTTTTGCCCAGCCGTCCAATAACTGCGCTATTGAATTTGCATGAATTTAGGATTACCTACTTGTTATTTATTATTTGTGTGGAATTTAATATTAATTTTATTTATTAACATTAAAAAAAACCGGCAAAGTGTTATGGGGTAGGTAAATAAAAATACTTAATCTTAAAATTATTGAGTAATTATATTTGAATAATATATGTTTTTTATTAAGCGTGGGCCATACCGGGAGCGAAGCGAGGTTCTTTTTTTCTCTAAATTAATTAAGCAAAGCGTTCATACGGTGCGGACCCAAGTATGAAATGATGCGGACGTACTGTGCTTCGTGAATGAAGCGTTATTCGTTTCATTTCGCTCCCGGTGTGGACGGCGCCTTATACATATTTTTTTTAGGAATATACAAAATATTATATATCTGTATTGCACAACTTTATAAACAAACTATCTATATATATATATCTGATTTCTAGAAAAAATTTACACAGCCCAATTTATCAACTGTAACTTAGAAGGATGTTCCTTATCTTCGAACTTTTGAAATGTTATTGGGGCACCACGTTATATGAATATAAACCATAAAACCACCAAACTTTAACAACATACACTGTATGGAACTATACACAAGTCATTAATGAGCCTCACATATTAATACAGATAAGGAAATGTACAGAGATACACACTATAGCATTTGGATAATGTTAGAGATCCATGGAATTTGTACCCCTAAGGGATATCTGCCCGTGAACTAATAAGTTCTGTAGTATGTTGTACATGAACATAAAATAACCCATCAAATCCCTTTAACACATCTTGTCAAAAATAATGTGCGAGGGGAACAGCATGCTTCGCGTCACCATTTCTGATTAGTTTTTTTATGGTGCGAGTTATACCTTTTTTAAGCATATGTTTAGAACATGAATAGAGAAGCAAAATATAACTTGCAAACTGAACTACTTAAGAAAAACTGAGTCCACGTATGCAACGCTTTAGAATGTTAAGACTCTTCTTTTGTAAGAAACCATAATTATGATTACAAAAATGGCCTACGCAAAGTTGCATACGATAAGTATGTTTCCAAGTCATATTTCTTCATTCGAATAGAAGAGGCAAGACGTAGTAATGATAGTAGGGCCTGAGCACTCTATGTAGTGATGAGTGAACGTCTAGGGCAGCAAAAAAAATCAACAAACGGTTACGACTTATGGTCAAGTCCAAATCGTCAGTCTTTTGAATAGGAGGTACTGGAGGGTTCACGTATTTATTAAACAAATGTCAATTATTGGAGGAAAAGAATTCCTTATTTTAAAAATAATTTGATCTTAGAATTCTTAGCGAAAAATTAAAAAAAATGACTTGAAATAGCCAGTAGGTACGGCAGAACGGCAATTTCATAAGCAACGATATTAAATACTAATAATAATAATAATACACCATGTGTGTTCAAAATGTGTCCCAATCAAGAAGTGCTTGAACACCACTCAAGCACTTCTTGGTTCACAGTCACGCGCGGACCGTTGAAAAGTGAACATGCCGCAGAGCTCCTTAAAAAGCGAAAAATATACTTATAGTACGTGGTGTCAGTTTTTCGATCTATTCAATGTCTGTTTATTTAACGCATTTGAAGAAAATTTTGGTCTAGTTACTATAAACTGATTAAATAAAAAAATATTTTTGATATTCAAATGCATATATCCATCTCTTTTCCTCAAGGTCCGTACCTGCGATATTGCTAACAACGCATCCAGAATTGCGCGTAGTGTCAAAGAAATAAGGTGTATATTCTTCCGCATATAGCAGTAAGTCGTAAAATTTTACGAGCTTGCATTTCGAACTGTCTCTGTACTGAACTCTTTGACGCATGCATTTTAATAAAGACCTTATACAGTATGTATTAAAGGTGACTTACTATGTTTAAATAATTCCTTATATTGTATTTGACTACGCGATCGTCATACGGAGCTCCGTGGGTCGTCCAATGTACCTTTTGGACAGGTTTCGGGCACGATTTTGTTCGTATTGGTATATCTAGGGTATTTAATATCGTTGTTCATAGGTAAAGACCAATTTCAAGCTCGTTGCATTTAAGTTATTGACACTTATCGCGATTGACCTGGACTTTATTTATCTTGTAGCATTTATAAAGATAATATGTGCAATGCGCATCGCAATCTAGTATTGAAATAATCAATGCACAATCGTAAGTACTATATTGGCATATCAATGAAAACAAACATTTACGCGCATATTCAATACAATGTATAATCATTATCTTAGCAATGTGCGATCTCATTAACCATCTCATTAACCTTATAATTATTTCATTTTATATCTTCGGTTCGGATACAGATATACAGTTCGGATATAATTACAATCAACAAAAAAAAGTAGCAAAATAAGCTCAGCTATAGTAGATAATCGGGTGAGATCAGTTATTGTGTTAATATTTCACATTAATTGATGTTCATATTAAGATTATTTGGTGTAAATATACGTGTTTTATGCGTGTTGGATGTCGATAGTTTTTATCATAATTCAGTATGAGTTCAAGCTATTATCGCTCTTAAGTAGCAGACTTTCATATATTTCGACATTAAAAAGCGTTCAAAAGAGTAACTTTGTTTGTTTCAAATTGTGACAGTTTTAACATTGAGTTAGTAAACTTGAAGCGTGTTTTTTCTATTTTTGATTAAATTTTTGGCTTCAGATCATTGTAGTCAGTCAAAGAAAAATTGAAATTTCTGTCTCTTTCCAAAACATTATCGAACTTATTGGTGGAATTAAGACGAAACTAATGCATATTGGTACTTTTTTTGCATTCCTTCTATGTATATTATTATTCTAAGCGAATTTGCTTACGGATGAACTTAGAGACGACAATTAAATTGAACGAATGTCAAAATAAAGTGTTTAATTTTTATTTTAAATTGCCATTCAAGTAAATATAAATAATCCACAGAGCATCAGTCTTAATCCAACTAAAAAATGATTTTCATTTCTGAGATCAACCGTACCTTAATTTTACTCTGTTTAATGTGTAAGGCGTACGATGTACAATAAGCTCACTATTGAGGAATTTCTTAGGAATACAGCATAGATTTCTTCAAAAAAGGCGTAAACGAGTGTATACAATGTAGGTACTTGTTGGCCTTCCACATAATATATTTAATAAAGGACGGGTGAAGTTATCTAATGGCCGTTTTTATTTGGCGGCGTTGTGAATAACGAAGGCACGTGCGTATTGAGTGCTGGTACGCCCCCATGAAGTATACAAACCCTTGGCACACAGCACTTAACCAAGTGTGCACTGAACTGTAACAATGATATGATGTAAATTAATTAAAAGAACATTTAGATCACCTAAATTAAATCTTAGTTTGAAATCCGCTAGGGCCATTTTTTGTAGCAAGCACGGTTTGTGCGTTGCATCAATAAACTAATAAATGTTACTGATTTTATTATTGAAAGCAAAGAATGCTAGGCCCATACATACTTTCGAGTAATGAAAAATTAAATTATATGTTTTTTTGTGTCACTAAAGAGGCCCTGACTAAATAACAGCGCTGGTGCGTCACAATGTCGCATCAGCTAACACTGAGGCAGGGTCTCAGTTAGCCCTGAGAATTTGTATGTGTAAATGCGTAAATGAGGGTTAATAAAATATATTCTATTCTATTTATGATGATGGCTTTTCACATGTACAAACAGCCACACTTCAAGTTACCAACATTTTCTCAATACATTGTGAATTTTGTATCAAGCATCATAAAAGTTAAGTCAGTTGGAGAAATGTGCGAGTTTTGGGTGACTCGAGCTGTGGCTGTTTCGCACGATTGTACTCGATACATGGACACAGACGAAAACTAAGCTTTTCCGTCATTTGGCCATTGATAATATGTCGAGGCTGCCGACCGAGCCATTTTGTTCATTCGTTCAGTTGAGATTAAAATGTGGCGGCGACATCTATATGCCCCATATATAACTAACATGGAGGAAATAATCACTCGCCTCCTCAAGAGATGGCGCTACCTGCGCTGCGATCATAATAGTATGGAAGTCTACATCGCGCAAGTGAAATTCGGAGGCTGACACACTCGGCCGGGCCGCGGCCCCCGAGCTACCATCACCCAGCTCGGAGGAAGATCTTCCCCTTAGGCCTTCTTAAAAAGACATCATGGCACCAGACGTGTTGCGGTGGCATGCTGAGCGAGGCACGAAACAAAATACGCGAGCGTCCCGAGTGCACGCGGCAAACGACTGAGACGCCTTTGAGCAAAACAAAAAGCTGACATTCGATGGCTCGGGCGCTCGGTCGCTTGCCCGCGGCAGCGCGCGCACTTGCCTCAGCCGAGGCACGTCCACACTAATTGAGCTGCCTCACGAGCAGTGCCGTTAATAGCCCTTTCTGCGCCTTGTGCGAGCTTCTATAATTGCGCCCTTTATGATGTGTAACATCTTTCCTCTCACTTTCGTGCAATTTGTGGAAGTGATTTCGTACGGAAGTGTGTAACAGGAAGTTTGGGAAGCGCGCGCTATTTGATTTTATTTTAGAACATAACGTTCAAATGGCTTATTCCTTTTGTAGTAGGTTTTATTTCTTTTTTTACTAATATAAGGTGAGGTTTCAAATGTTACACATTATACGCGACTACTGTAAGGCTCGTTCGTTTTTTTTAGGTATTATAGGTATCCTAGAGCAATGCTATGTCTCGGCCGCTTAGTCTCCAACCGACCGTGTACCCGCCGGCCGCTTGACTCCGATAAATACTAAACACAAATACGCTCATGACGTTCTTGATGATACTGGCATGTAGGTACGTATGTTTTGCAATCAAGCACTAGGGGCGCAGCGGGAACTTATACCGAAAAAATAATAGTCTTAAGTGCTAGGCCGCACTACGGCGAAACCGCCGCGGTTTTATACCGCGTAGTTTTGAATCATGGAAACTAATGCAAGCGGCCGCACCAGCGGTTTTTTCCCGCGACATATTTTAAAACCGTGATTTGTTACAGAATGGCTCGCAGGTAAAAACCGCGCCAAAATTTGTAGTCCATACAATATATTTACGAAATTTGTGACGACGTTTTCTTTTTCTATTTCTTAATAATAAAGCAACAATACATACATACTCTCTTGAAATCCATCCTCAAACTGTGATAAATCGTGTCTAGTTTCGCGGTTTTTAATCGTAGTGTGTGTGCTTCGGGCGGTTTCGCGGTTTTGCGGTTTACCGCTTGCGGGAAAAAACCGTAGTACGGCCTAGCACTAACTATTTACGGCACTGCTCGCGAGGCTGCTCGCTTTGTGTGGACTGTGGCGTCCAATAATCACGTTTCTTGGACGAAAGCCCACTTGATTGTTATTATTTGTCGGCCAAGGATCAATAGAAATGCATATTCTGTTAATATTGAAGATAGTGTACGGTTCAAGACACAGTCATTTTTTATTTATTTTATTTTAGGAAGGTTTACAGCTATCAACAATCACTTATTAAATAAACAAAAAAAAAACAATATCTAAAAGCCAATTAAAAACCTCCACATATTAAACATGCTTATATAACTATTACTCATATCATTATATATTAATTAGAGTTAACAATTACACTATCTTTAAAAAAGAAAAAGACGCCAGTATGAATATTGAGCATAACCACTTATTTAATTAATGCCTATTTAAAACAATTCAAACTTGTAGTTCGTCTGATTGTCGCTGGGCTTGTCAAGAATAAGTTACATATGCCATATTATGTTTGATTGTCACCCCTTTGACATAAAAAAAAACTTTTCTCACCAATTGCGCAGTCTCGTCTTCAGCTGATGCTACCACGACAGTCTTCTTCTGTTTGATAGCGTCAGTTAGGACGCGTTGGGGGCGAAGCCCTAGGGCTCTGAGTTCGTGTTGTCCGAGCTGTACCCCACTGTATGGAACGTTAATACTACCTTCTATGCAACTTTTCTCGTAACTGCAAAATTAATATTGATCTTAAACAGCCTATTAATCCATACTTATATTATATTAATACGAGGAAGTGTGTCTGTCTGTCATCTCTTCACGCTTATACCAGTCAAGCTGGCGGGATTCGAACTATAACTATATCAAAGGACATTGGACAAAAATGTATGGACGCTGCACCCACGTCCGCCACGGCTTAAACTACATTTGTTTGAAAGGTATTATAGTCATGATACCTTGTGCCAAAGCGCATTCCGGGAGTCTTTAATTATTTTAAGTTAAATAGGTACAAGTACTATAACGAGCGAACATTAATGAAACAAGGGAATTAATTTAGTTAGTTAGTTCGATCCTGCATAGGGGGTTCAGGTGTTATGGGAGTACTTCACAAGGTGCAACCACTTATGTTATTCTGCCGCGCTAGAGTAAATCCAAAAATCGCCGCATGGGTTGGGGGTTTTATAAACATTCTGTTCGTTATAGTAAATTGTCTTGTATGTAAAACGGAGCGACCACAAATCACAAAATCTTGTCCACCCTTCGGAGAAAACATGATTCCAGTTCATCCATACTAATTGACAAAACCGATAATCGTGTTCCAATATCCAAAGCGTGTTAGATAAAAATCATCAAGTGACAGGGAGCGCACAATCACAACGAAGTAAGACGAGTCGACTATTTGCAACTGAAAGTCCTTCAACCCCGTAAACCGTTTTGAGGTGTTTAAGTTAGTGCAAACGCAGGATGGTCGGCAGACTTTGTCGTATATCTGGTTATATAGTACGATATGGCATATTATAATCTCTTATCTATTAGACGAGTCCGTCTGTCCGTGGTGCTGTTTCGGCGGCCAAACCGTAAGAGATAGATAAAGAGAATATTTAAGTGAGAAGTTAAGAATAGTCTGATAAGACTACAAACCGGATTTGAGTAACGGTGCACTTCCGGTTTTCGAGAAATCAGGTTTTGGTGAACATTTGGTTCACTGGTTTGCTAGTGGTTACTAATAATATAAAATGAAGGTTCTATAAAATGAATTTATTTAGCTAATGAAATATGCCTATTGGTATTGGTCATAGATCTATGAAAAACTTGCCTTTTTTATTATGACACCGTAAAAAATATCCTGCTAGTCAAAAGATATGACCCATAGGCATAATTAATTAGCTAAATAAATTCATTATATAGTACCTTCACTTTATATTATTAGTAACCATAATAATATGACATAATAAATAAATATCGTACTATACAACCAGATATACGACAAAGCCTGCCGACCATCCTGCGCTTGCACTTATTGAGCCACCTCAAAACGGTTTACGGATGTTGAAGGACTTGCAGTTGCAAATAGTCGACTCGTCTTACTTACTTCGTTATGATTGTGCACTCCATGTCACTTGATTGATTTTTATCTAACATGCTTTGGACATTGAAACATGATTATCAGTTTTGTCAATTAGCATGGATGAACTAGAATCATGTTTTCTTCGAAGCGTGGACAAGTTTGTGTTATTTGTGGTCGCTCCGTTTTACATAGAAGACAATTTACTGTAACGAACAGACTGTTTGAAAAAACCCGAACCCATGCGGGGTTTTTCGGATTCACTGCAGCGCGGCAGAATAACATAAAGGGCCACCCTTGCACCTTGTGAAGTACTCCCATAATATCTGAGTCCTCTATAAAGGGTCAAACTAACTAACTAAATTAATTCCCTTGTTTCATTAATGTTCGTTCGTTATAGTAATCGTACCAATTTAACTTAAAATAACTAAAGACTCCCGGGATAGAATTTGATGCGCTTTTGCACAGATGATCATTACTAGTATACCTTTCAAACAAATGACTTTAAGCCGTGACGGATGTGGGTGCAGCGTCCATACATTTTTGCCCATGTCCTTTGATATTGTTATATTTCGAGTCAAGATTAAAGACATAGGAGTTTAGTAAACTAGAAATCAGCCATTGAGGGTTTGAAAAAGAGGGTGGAAGTATATATAGGAAATTAATTCAACCACGCAGGCAAAGTCGCTAGTGTTGAATACAACCCTTTTGAACCAGTTGAATGATTGATGTGCTTGAAAACATAAGAAATTAAAAGCCTATTATGCCCCACTGCTGGGGCACAGGCCTTCACTATGTAGACGGTGCCGATTGGTAGGTTCTAAGCTACTGCAGCTGGGACCAATGTTTAATCAAATATAGGGTTAGAATTGAGAATTTATTAATATCTCAATCATAACATATACTAAAGATATACGATTGGCAGTACTATATAAATAGGCATATATAAAAGAAAAAGGACAAATAATACTAAATAACAAAAATTGTATTGGAGTGGAAAACTTACAGTAAGTTGGACCTTATGTCGATGACGCAACACTTATCTTGGCAAACTAGGGAGAAGAAATCGGACAGACTTATCCGAGGGCAGATCTCACTGAATAAAACTTCCATTGGTATTTCAACGGCATCCTAGAAATAAATGTATATAAAAATAGAATATCACTTACAAAAAAAACTAAATTTGGAATGAAACTGACATATTGTGTGGGTTTTTGCCGCCAAGTGTGGCATGTAGCAAGTTTAATTCTTAAACTAGAAATATAATAAAATTGTCTCAGTTATAAAATTAAATATAATTCAAGAAGTCTATTAGGACCCTCAGTGGTTTTATTAGGAGAGCAAGATAGTACAAGGTTAAAGGTCCCGTCTAAAAGCTGAGACAAAATATTAACCATACTTACAGTAGGCTCTTTTATAGGAGGTTCGTTGGTAAATCTTCGGTAACTTATACTCCGCGGCGAGCTGCGGCACATATTAATGGATTCCTGGTGATAAACAATATACATAAAAAAAAACTTTAAAAGATAAATACCGTTACATTAGATTTTTTATGGAGTCAATCCCATTGAAAGTGCTGGAAATTTATTTATTTTACCGAAAAAGCTGGAAATTTAAAAGAGTAAAAGGAACTTTTACAATAGTAATTAACAATAGGTACTAAAGTCTAACAACTACATACTTTATCGCTTCAAATTGTCTTCGAAGTCAAGAACATTTTATTACAACGGAGATCACCGCGTGCATATAATTAATAACTCTTATAAATCATAATTATTAAGGAAAATATAATAGCCTCCTTATTTTATTTCAAAGCTTACCTTGACACATTCTCCGATATCTATTTCAGGCAAATCCGATGAGAGCAGTATACATTCGTTGAAGCCGGAAGAGAGGAGGGTATCGCGCAATTGGCGTAGAATTCCTACCCCCATAAATAAGGGTAGCGACGGCCCTTCCACCAGGAGAGCGTCCCACAGATGTAGAATTTTGTGAAGAGGGAAAACATCTACAAACGATAGAATGGGGATGATTTAGCTAATGAATACAAGATCGAAATTATAAACCAAGTTTTTTATTCTGTTTTGATATGTTACTTTAAAAGATTTTATATTGTGTGCGTTTATTAGTTTTTTTTTTCATAAATCTTGAAATTGATTTAATCATTGTATCGTTTAATTATGATGTTATTGGAGGTTTTACTCTAAACTCGAAATCAACTAGGAGCTCGATGGCGCAGGTGGTTAGCGCGTTCGGCTGCGATCGTTGAAGTTAAGCAACTTTCGCAGTGGTCGGTCATTGGATGGGTGACTAAAAATCTTTTATCGCGAGTTCCTCCGTGCTTCGGAAGGCACATTAAGCCGTTTGTCCCGGCTGCATCTGCAGTCGGTAGCACCCGCCAATCCGCACAGGGCCCGCGTGGTGGGTCATGGCCCAATTTCCCTATTCCATCAATAGGGAAGGCATGTGCCCCAGCAGTAGGGACATTAATAAGCTGATGATGAAGTAGTGCAATTGTTTTGATAGATATTTTGACTCCAAGGTCCTTTGAGCGGGATTTCTAGAACATATTTATGTAATTACGTCTTAGTTGTTATTTTTTATTTATTAGAAACAAGTGCTCTTTGAAAAGCTCAAGGAACACGTACACTCACCAGCAAAATGAGTAGATAAAAAAACTGACATTTGCCTATAGTGTTTGTATAGCAATCACACTGGTATGGGCCACCGCTAAGAATGCTTGATAATTTTGTTATTAACAGAAAGCACATGCAGTGATTGCTTTGTCTACAGCATATAACTATCTCTATTGTGTAGATATATCAAAGTCACACAAATATGACGATAAAATTTCCACTATGTATAAATTAATATTAGAATATCATTCAAAGTGTATGTGTAAAGTCATCATCACAAAAAATATGACTGAAAAGCTTTGTGAGGAGCACAAAGGAGCAAGTCGTGGAAGTTAAACTAGTTAAACTACTTTAACAATGTTTGGTCATTGGATGGGGGACCGAAACATATTATCTTGAGCTGCCCCGTGCTTCGGAAGACACGTTAAGCCGTTGATCTCCAGTCTTTCGCACCCACCAATCCACACTGTTCCCGCGTGGTGGTCCATGGCCCAATCTCTCTATTTCATCTATGTGCCCCAGCAATAGGGACATTAATAGGCTGGTGATAAAAAGAACTCTGGTAAAAGTAGGTATAAAAGTATTTTTTGGTACTCACGCGAAAACATAGTCAAGAACCATGGTATGGCGAACAGCTCCGGAACAAAGTTAATCTCGTGCAGATGGGTGGCCAACTCTGGCTCGTGAAATGCGGTCATTTGCCAGAATTTGGCCAAATATTCTTTTATAACGGAACTGTTGTCTTTCAAGAAGAAATTGTGCAAGAACTTCGGTACGAACACTTGCAAACACGCGAACGCGCGAGCTAAAACAATATATATTTTGTTAATGCGATAGATAAATTGGTATCAAATTCAATATCGTTTATTTTGATTGTTACAAGCATTAATAAATGTTAAGCTATGCCATCAGTTCGCAAAACTACACCGACAGACATAGTACTGAGAAGAACCGGCAGAAAACTCAGATGATATTCCTTTATTATATTACTAAACGAAGAATAAGCTTCGACTAGTGGCAATATGTATTGCTTATAAGATTGGAACATTTGCATCTGGTACAACGGTACAAAGTACCGGATCAAAACCACCTATGGTCCTGACTCTGGTTAATATCCTCAAAACTTTTAACTAAAAAAGATGTGATTTCGTTAAAAAAATCGAGTGTGCTTATGACCACACGACTGAAGTGAAACTTCTTTAGCTCCATCTGTATGAAGTATATATATATACAGTGGTGATCACATAATTAAAGACACCCCCTAATTAACCACTAAAAACTTACTTATGGTACTAACATTAGCTAAAATTGGTATTTAATCCAGTTTAATTGTTATTAAACCATACACTAGTTGTGTTCGTTAGTAGTTTAGACACTGCTCACTATGGGAACGTAACACAAACTTTTTTAACGTATTTATAGCTGGCCAGCTAATTAAAGACACTCGATTTGCTTAGAAGAAATAGAAAAAAATATTGTTATTATTGAAATTATCTTTATTACACAATATTCCTAACACATTTATAAAACTTTTCGGTACGTATGAATATTTGGTCGCATGTCCTTTTGCAGAAATGACAGCACGACATCTTTTGGGCATGGAAGCGATCAATTTTTTACAAGCTTCCACCGGAATTTGCTTCCAAGCTTCTCTAAAAGCTGTGTAAAGTTGATTGATGTCCGTTTTGTCGTCACTGTCTTCTTCACCTGGTTTCACAAATTTTCTATTGGGTTTCTTTTATTACTTTTGCAGTGTGTTTCGGATCATTATCCTGTTGGAAAATGGCCGGTACATTTTGCTCAGCATAGGGCAGCATGGCTTATTCTAAAATATTCTTGTACTGGAATTTATCCATGATGCCTTCTATTTACCTGACAGGTCCAAAACCAAGTCCTGAGAAACAGCCCCAAAATTTGATATTTCCGCCCCCATGTTTAACTACTTTCTTGGTATACTTTGGTTCCATTTCTTTGTTCGGGGGGCGTCTAACATATTGTTTTCCGTCAGAATTGATCATATTAATTTTTATTTCATCAAAAAATAGCACATGTTTCCATTCTCGTTCAGTCCAGTGTACATATTTTTTAGCAAATGCTAATCCTGCCTTAACATTTTGCTTTTTCAAAAGTGGCACCTTCCGAGACACTCTTCCGTACAAGTTTGCCTCAAATAGTTGTAACGTGTTAAAAACGTTACATGAATCTCCTTCGCTCGAAGAGCGAGATAGAAGATTTTTTAGGTTGTCTCTCTGGTTGTTTTTATCTCGCGCCCATTTTCCTTAATCTGTGCACTTTTCATTATTATGTTTCTGCCTTTATCAAGCAGTAGGCTGAATGGACGTTGTTCTCTTTGCCTTCCCGGCAAGAGAAAACAAACTTGAGAAAAAACTAATGTCTCTTCACTTCACGACGTAATTTTTAGACCAAAGGATGGTCATTTCGTAATCCAATTTTTTAAATTGAAAATCCCTTAGATTATTGATTGTTTTTAGTGGTAAGTGTTTTTCCAAATTCGAAAAGTGTTTTAATTCATATATTTCAATGATTTACATGAGGATTGATTTTGTTTACAGATGTAATATTTTACACCGTTTGCGCGGAATGGCGGCGATCACATTCCAAGCTTAATTTGTTTATAAAACGGTAAGAACCTTAGTGATTTCCTTAGTTTTACATTTTTTCCTTTGTTGTAAGCCATGTGCTAATCTGAGGAATGTTTATTTTCAGCAAAAAGCGTTTTTTTATTTGGATTTTTTCATTCAAATTTCAACATTTCCCATGATGAAGGTGGTGAACCCACGTGATGTAACAACGGCCATCCCTTAATTATTTACAACACCAGACATATACTTAACTCCAAAGATGCAGCAAAGTCGGTAATGTCCAAATTCATTGTCGTATCCGAACCCTAATATAAGGTAAATTTTCATTTTATTTTTGGTAGAATCATAGTCTTAGGTGCGGTTGCTCGTACATTACAGTAAAGTAAAAGTTAAACTTTAACTGTTGTTAATTTTGACCGTGGTAAAAAAAGTTACGTCGGTTATCTTCGCATTCAGTTGCCCAAACATATTTTTCGTGGCGGTTAAATTAGACAAAGGTTAAATGGGTTGTCAGTGCAATTCCATTTCTTTTCCCTTCATTTTTGATGGGGAACTTTTTTTTCGGCTGTCAGCACTGTAATAACTGTCAATTTGGCATTGTTTGTTGTGTGTGACGTTCCGGTGCATTGAAATTCGTTGTGGTGATTTCAAAACTTTTTCTGAGTCATTTTATGTGTTTAGTTTTTGTAAATACGGAAGAAAATACTCCGTATTTTATTGAACCTGCTTACTTTACTACCCGTGAATTCGTCAAAATGGATGTTATAGCAAAGTAAGTGAATGTTATTTTTAGTAACTTATCTTACAAACGTAGTCTTTGATTACCATGGGATTAATATCTGTATTTTTCTAGGGCAAGAAGATCTAATTTTTCTAACAATGAGCTTGAACTGTTGAAACGGTTAATTGATGAAAATGAAGAAATATTTCTCTGCAAAAAAACTGATACCGTTTCTCAAGCACTAAAAGATACAACATGGCTTCATATCCACATGGAATTGAACGCAAGTAGCTCAAGACACAGAACCATTAAACAATTAAAATATAAATTTTATAATATGAAGAAGTCTGCCCGAAAAGTAAGTACTTATTAATATTTATTTTTTATGTATTGTATTTATTTTTTTTTACTGTTTTTTTTTGTTTTATAATATCTAGTAATTGTAGGTCATCATAATTATCAGCATTTTTATATCATCAGAATATTTACATAATAAAAAAATAGTAGAATTACATAACCATCCATAACCCTAACCATCGGGCCATTGGGGGCGCAATTTGGGTTAAAGGGAAATATTTTCTAGTTTTAAAGGAAAATATTAAAATACACTTAAATGAACAATTATTTGTAGGACGCAAGCAGGAAACGGCAAGAAAGTCGAAGGACTGGGGGAGGTCAATTACTAGGCACGTCAAGCAGTGACCACCCCGATAAAGACTGGATGAGATCGTTAATATTTTTATCTGCAGATGGTATGGAAGCTACATATGACGATGACACACTACCAGAGGTATACATATTATTTACTACTCTATCCATACTTAAAAATGAAATTTTTTTTCTCTGTTTAGACAGAAAAATACAGACATATCAAAAATAAGCAACAGAATTACAATTATTTTATAAAGGACTAGCTGGCCCGGTGAAGTTCGTACCACCCGTTTAAGCCTTCCCTGGACTACGACAAACATTTAAAGACCAAAATCAGCTAAATTGGACTAGTCTTTCTCGAGTTTTAGCGAAACAAAGGATTAGCGAAGCAATTGATTTTTGTTACATTTGCAAGGCTAATTTTTTTTTCTGGAATACTACTTAATTACATAAAAAGTGTAGTTATGTAATAATGAAGTAAATCTCTTTTTTTTTTCAGAATGTTGAACCTAGTGGTAGTGGTGAAGGAAACTGTACACCCTTAGCTCAAACAGTAAAAGTTTATCCTTTAATTTCTTGATTTTTATTGTATTCTTTGTTGATGTAAAAACGACTATTTTTATTTTATTTTATAGAATATTGATGAAGTGATGACACCATGTGTGATGACACCACCAGCAAAAAAGAAACTGGAGTATATAAAAAACTCTGAGGTAAACCCTATTTCTAATAAAATATAATTACTTTCGAAGTATTTACTTTAAAGTTTAATTCATGTATGTAGTCTACATCTTAGACAATAGTCTACATGTAGAAGAATTTTACAGAATAATATTTTTTAGTACCTACAAGGCACATTATTTTCTAATATGTATGAGTGGACAGTAATCTACAGAAAAATAAAGCATACAAGATTATTGTAATTTGTGTTGTCCTTTTTTATTTGTAGTAAAATTATACATATTAAGTTTTTATTTATTATTTTAGGATGAGCTGCTGCCTATGATAATGACACAACCATCGTGCACCCCTAGCCCGCCAAGGCAATTAGATGTGGGGACATTCATCCCATTGAGTCAAGTAGAAAGTGTTGAGAGTGTCAAGGTGATTATTTATTATGTGCATAATGGAATCCTAATATTCTACTAATATTAAAATTGTAAAAGTTTGTATATTTGGATATTTATATGTTTGTTACTCAATGACCCCTCAACTGTGGAATGGATTTCGATGAAATTTTGTATACGGGTAGGATATGATCTGGAGTAACATATAGGATACTTATCCCGAAATTCCCACGGGAGCTGAGCGCCGGTGCGCAGCTTGTGTTCCTATATTTTTTATTATTCTCCAAATTATTCTGTTTCAGAAACCCATAATAAAAGACACCGGTGGCGGTGCACCTGGATGTTTATTAAGACGTCCAGTGACATCAATTTTAAAATGTAAGCAAAGATATAGAGAATATTGTCCAATGTCCAGTGTGAGTTGGGGTGATGATGATTAATCTGGTTTCTTTATTTTGTAGGTCGTAAAAATAATTTTGGAGCTTCTCCGGTGGCAGTGAGAAGGTCCATAAAAATGCTTTCTGAAGAAAAACTCCAGTGCACCAAAGAGAAGGAGAAAATCCTTGAGGAGTCTAATAGACGTGCTGAAGAAGAGCACATAAAGAAATTAGACCATGCACAGGAACTACATGACCAATTAATAAAACATAATGAAGAACGTCACCATAAAGAAATGTTGTTACTAGATTTAAAAATTAAAATACATGAGGCTCAATTGAAAAAATTGAATTAAGTTTGTTTAACTTTATAATTTAGTTTTAAT